AAACCACTGTCCCTCCTCTGGACATGTCCAAACCATCTCAGTGTGTCCTCTCTAACTTTATCTCCCAGTTGTTCAACCTGTGCTGTACCTCTGATGATCTCATTCCTGATCTTCTCCATCCTTGTCACTCCTAAGGAGAACCTCAACATCTTCATTTCTGCTACTTCCAGTTCTGTCTCCTGTCTTTTTGTCCATGTCTCTGTCTCCAGACCATACAACATAGCTGGTCTCACCACTGTCTTGTAAACTTTTCCTTTGACCTTTGCTGACACCCTTTTGTCACAAATCACTCCTGAAACTTTTCTCCATCACTCCATCCTGCCTGAACTCTCTTCTTCACCTCTTCACCACACTCCCCATGTTCCTGGACAGTGGACCCCAAGTCCTTGAAGTCCTGCACCTTTGTGACCTCTGCTCCTTGTAGCCTCACTGTTCCACCTCCTCCCTCTCATCCACACACATGGACTCTGTCTTACTACGGCTGACTTTCATTCCTCTTCTTTCAAGTGCATACCTCCACCTCTCCAAGTTCTCTTCCACCTGTTCCCTATTTTTTTTTTCTCTGTGCTCTCAGTGAAGGCAGACGCATCCTCTTCTGCCCCCCCCCCCCCCCCCCACACACACACACACACTTCCCTGCTTTGCTGTCTTGTGAACAATTTATAGAGCCTTTTATTTTTATTTATTTTTTTGCATATCTTCCTAATTCGATGGATTTGATCAGCTGGTCTCTCAACAAAATTGATCTACTTCTCCCAACAGGAAGTCAGGGTGAATGGAGGACCCCCTACCTCAATGGAAACAAACTTTGATTGATGACAACTGGATTCTGCTGTTTGGATTGGTGAAATCTGGATTGTCCACAAATTCGTGTGGAATGTGTCGAAGCTTGGCAGCAATAAGAATATGTGAACTATGGAGCAGCATTAAAGCTGAAGCAGGCTGATATCAGGACTGTAAACTTTCTGGCAGCACCCATGAACGGTTGGAAGGAATAATCTTGGAGAAGCTGTAAACTCGACCTTTGGTGTAAATAATCAATTTGGCTGTTTGGAGTCACCATCAGAGAAATGTACTGGTGAGGCTGTAAAAGGCAGAACTGCAAATTACGAGTTTTGCCTGACCTAAACTGTGAATATGGCCTTGGAAGTGAACTATCTCAATTCGTCCTGGGATGTTATGAAAACAAAGATGCTCTGTCTGTCTCCTCACCCCTCCCTTCCCCAAGGCCGTGCACATGTG